TAGCTTCTAGCGTAACACCTCACCCAACACAAGTTACCTGCGTTAGTGACAGCAAAGCATTCATCACCATAATCCAATCTGGTTACAAACAATATACAGAACTAGATGCAACTGCTACCATGGCGCCAGRATTTGACTTGATTAACAAATCTTCCACACTGCACAGTCACCACATATTTCTCCTTCCTTTCCCTGGGTTAAAGGCCACCAGGATGATGAGATTCAAGTTGAGGAACTCTCACTGACAGCTCAGCTGAATGTTGAAGCTGATCAATACGCTGGCACTTTTCAAGCCAAGATGATGATGTCTCATTTHGTAACACCAGTTCTACCTTCATGCCCAGCAATCCTTGAGATTCAAACAAGATATATCACAAGTTAATGCAAGAGAGCTCTCAATGATTCTTGTCTCCTTCCATCATATCATACATATTTGGAAGAAAAGCATCAGTGGAAATCTCATATTCTTGGGGATTTTGCTTGGATGTCACTAGGGACTGCCACCAATTGCATCTCTAGTAGGAACATTCTGATTACCAAATGCTGCAATCACATTCTGCYGACTGCTACAGTCCTCGAACAGTGGAAATATCAAACCCACCAAGAGGGGGGGAAGTGCCAATGACTTGTCTTGAGTCTCTGTTGCTTCCACTGATAGGGGATCCATTGACTTGCCTTGAGCTTGGCGCCTCCACTAAGAGGAGGGGGGAAGATATCCATGGACTTGCCTTGTGCTTGGCGCCTCCACTGAGAGGGGACCCAGCTGAAAGGGGATTTTGATAAAAAAATCAACCTAATGATGGATTGTYTCTTAGTTCTGCTTGTTGTTTTGCTTGTTTTAACTCACTTTCCCCCCCTYGATCCTTTCTACAGCAAGTCAACAAACATCAAAATGGTGGTAACTGATGTGATGGAGCTCCTTGAAGCTAGCAACACTCGTCCTGTAACAACAAGAGCAAGCACTGATGCTACAAGTGACACTGATACAGCGTCAACAAGGCCCACAAGAAGCTATACTGATACAGCAACAAGCCTTGCAAGCAGTACTGATACAGTGACCCTAATGCAATACTGAAACAGTGTTGACAAGGCCCASCACTGGCAAGTTTAGTGGTACTGACACATCCACTCCTGCAAGGAAGCAAAGCAAGAACTTGACMAATAACCAGAGACTAGCAATTGTTCAGGATCTGTTGCAACATAAAAGAAGCAACTCTAATGGAGCGCTCTATCTTGCAAGGGGAGCTCAAAAAGAAGCTACAGAAACATAMAGCGTCTCACCAAGGACTATTTCAAGGGTTTGGAGCCAGTACAAGAAAACTGTGGATCCAGTTATGTGTCCTGCTGGCAATGTTTTGAACAGAAAAGACGGTAACTCTGATTGCAAGCCMAGGCATCTGGATGAACTAGAGATTCTAAGGAATGTTCCACACAAAAGATGAAGGTGATTGAARAAGTATGTYAGCTGTCACAGGCATTCCAAAGACTTCTTTACTCTGCATGGTCAAGTGTGGTAACATTAAGAAGCACAGCAGAAGTGCAGAGCCTCTACCAACAGACAAGAATAAAATCCGACAAGTTAAATGGATTATGAGCCACATTGATGAAAACTGAAGATTTGATTACTCGTATACTAAATGGATCCATGATGGTGAGAAGTGGTTTTATATGAAGAGGAAGACACAAACTACATACCTGCTTCCTGATGAAGATCAACCAAAGTCAACCTCCAAGTRGAAGAACTGTATGATGAGGATTATGTTTCTTTTTGCAGCAACTTCTAGGTCATGTTGGGATACAAACACGTGTGCTTGGTTTGATGGCAAGATTGGTATTTAGCCATTTGCTGAGAAGAAATTAGCTCATTGGAGATCTATCAATCATCCTGGAGGTACCCTTGTGACCAAGCCTGTGAACGTGAATAGAGACATGTACAGGAAGATGCTCCGATAAGGTTTTGCCTGTGATCTCAAGGTCGTCCTGAGATWATTATCCAAGAAGACAACACTAAACCCCACAAGGCAAGTATTAGAACTGCAGTTRCAGCTGCTGCAGCAAGGGAAGGTTGAAAAAAATCTTAATATTATGTGTAACCTCATGAACTAGAAGAGGCACGTTGTTGGCCAGAACCATTACTTCTCCTGACTAGGGAGGACCRAGAAGAACACTCCTAGCTGCTCCAAGGGGCAGTGTCTGGTCGCAGGAGTGTTTGTGGAGGAACAACCAGGTTCTATGAATACTGACAAGCCAATTAAGGCATAGGGTTGGATTCAGAGGACATAAAAAGAGTTGGTACACAGTTTGGACAGATGGGAACCACACCATGATCAGCACTGCCARGCCAGAAGGCAAGTCAAACCACAGTGA